ATATAGTTCTGATAATTGTTTAGTTAAATACAATACTAAGAAATAATAAATAATAAAATAATAATAAAATGTAGTTATAATGCATTTTGTCTAACTTAATTATTTGTCTGAAATTAAACGGGGACAGAAAGAAACTCTTCTACTCATTCAAAGCACGCTGCTGCTGCTGCTGCAGCAGCAGCGTGCTTTGAACTGCAGCAGCAGCAGCAGCATGCTTTGAACTGCAGCAGTAGCGTGCGTTACTGCTGCTGCAGCAGCAGCAGCAGCTCCCTTTGCTGCACAAGCAACGTGCATTGCTGCAGCAGCAACAGCAGCGTGCGTTACTCTTGCAGCAGCAGCAGTGTGTGTTGCTGCAACAGCAGCAGCAGCAGCACGCTTTGCTGCTGCAGCAGCAGCAGCAGCAGCAGAGAGGTGTGAGCATACACCTGAATTCAGGTGTATGAAGTGTTTTTTTTGTTTGTTTTACCGCTAAGAGCAACAGACAGTTTATTGTTTGCAGCATTATATATTTAAATTATTTATCTCGACTATTTAATTATTTATTTTATTTATATTTATCGCTTGTGTTTATCTCTTTATTATTTTTTATTCTGCTGCGATTTTCTTTGTTTGTCTCCTTTCACCGCCTCCTTTGCTTCTTCACTCCAGTGATGCCTTTAGCTGCTGCTGCTGCTACTGCTGCTGCTGCTGCTACTGCTGCTGCTGTTGCTGCTGCTGCTGTTGCTGCTGCTGCTTCTGGTGTTGCTGGTGGTGCTGCTGCTGGTGCTGCAACTTGCAGCTGTCAGCCTGCATATCGAACGTCTAAACCCTAAACCCTAAACCCTAGACCCTTTATAGGACGCATGCGCTGTACCGCTCTGACGAACTCGCTGGAGCTACAGCAGTTGCTGCTGCTGCTGCTGCTGCTGCAGCAAAGCAGCAGCAGCAGTTGCTGTTTTCAATCCACTATAAGAGGGTCGCCTGAACCCTCTGCTGTTTGCTGCTGCTCTCCGTTTGGAGGGGTTTGCTGCTGGTTTTCTTCATTTGCTGCTGCTGCTGCTGCTGCTGCTGCTGCTGCTGCTGTGCTGCTGCTGCTTGATGCTGCCTCCTCTTTTTCTTCCACCTTCTCTATACCGCTGCTGCTGCTGCTGCTGCTGCTACTGTTATTGTCATTATTACTACTGCTACCGCTGCTATTGTCGTTACTGCTGCTGCTGCTGCTATTGTCATTGCTGCTGCTGCTGCTGCTGCAGCTATTGTCGTCATTGCTGCTGCTGCTGCTGCTGCTGCTGCTATTGTCATCATTGCTGCTGCTGCTGCTGCTGCTGCTATTGTCATCATTGCTGCTGCTGCTGCTGCTGCTGTTGCTGTTTTTGAACTGTGATGTATATAAACCCCAGAGGTCTGCTGCTGCTGTCGTTTGCTCGGGTGTCTTGTCTTCACGTAGACGCAGAAACCGAGGGAAGCGAAGACTGACACCCTAAAAATAAATAAATAAATGTATTTAAATAATTATAAATAAATATTTATAAATATAATTAAATTAATATAATTAAATTAATATAATTAAATAAATATATTTTAATAATGTTAAATGTTAAAGACCGAGTATATATATACGTCTAAGAAAACGAGCGAAGCGAAGACTAAAATAAATAAATAAACTAAATAAATATAATTAAATAAATACATTAAATAAATAAATATAAATAAATAAATTAATAAATAAATATAAATAAATAAATAAATAAATAAAGACTAACCTTTCCTTCTTTAGAAATATATCGCGCAGCTGTATGCACAGGAGACAGCGACAAATCTGCTGCTAAGCACTCCCAGACCTCGCTAGCCTCCAGCCACACGTCAGGCTCCTAAGCACAAACCCTAAACCCTAAACCCTAAACCCTAAACCCTAAACCCTAAACTGTGAATCGTTAGTCGTTAATCGTGCATATTAAATCTGAAACACTCAATTCTAAATACTATATATCATAGGGACTCCGAATTTGGGTGTAGACATTATACCCTAAACCCTAAACCCTAAACCCTAAACCCTAAACCCTAAACCACAAACCCTAAACCCTAAACCCTAAACCCTAAACCACAAACCCTAAACCCTAAACCCTAAATACTAAAGGCTGAGTGGTGAATGATGAATGGTGGATGCTAAATACAAAGACTTCACCATCAAACCCTCGCAGCTGTCTGTACGAAAACCCTAAACCCTAAACCCTAAACCCTAAACCCTAAACCCTCACACTTCTTTGTCAGACTACTAGGGTTTATTTATAATGGGTTACGAATAAGGGTTTCTGTATATGGGTTTATAAATTAGGGTTTATAATAGTAAGGGTTTATAATAGTAAGGGTTTACAAATTAGGGTTTATATAAATTAGGGTTTATGAATAAGGGTTTATGAATTAGGGTTTATATAAATAAGGGTTTATAAATAAGGGTTTATAATAATAAAGGTTTACAAATTAGGGTTTATATAAATTAGGGTTTATATAAATTAGGGTTTATATAAATTAGGGTTTATATAAATTAGGGTTTATGAATTAGGGTTTATGAATTAGGGTTTATGAATAAGGGTTTACTGTCAATAGCTTCCATGAGGAAGCGTTTGAAGTCTTCTTCGCGTTGAATTTGTTTATTTGCAGCTTGTTTAACTCTGGGGTGTACATTGAGGTTAATAGCCTGATGTAAGAAGGCTCTACGGTCTGTTAAGGGTTTATGAAGAAGAGAAGTACTATTAAAGTGCATGCAGTCAAACAAATAAACACAAACATCGACGGATATATCCTCAATGTTTACAGCTTTTCTTTTACGCGTTGACAGCACTTGAAACGGCATTATTTTATTTGTTTCTTTATCTACAGCTACAACCTCTCCGTCCACAATGCAGCTGTTTGTACACCTGCCTATACACCTCAGAACTGTCTCACATACATCAGGGAACCTCTCCGTTATATCTTCTTGACTCCGACTAAACAAACGCACCACCAAATCCTCTCTTAGTCCTCCTCCTCCTGCTGCTGCTGTTCCTGCTTCTGCTGCTGCTGCTGCTGATGATGATGCGGGTGATGCTGCTGCTGCTGCTGCTTCTGCTAAGGGTGATGCTGCTGCTGCTGCTGGTGTTGCTGTTGCTGCTGCTGGTGTTGCTGCTGGTGTTGCTGTTGTTGCTGTTGTTGCTGCTGCTGGTTCTGGTGTCGCTTCTGCTGGTGTTGCTGCTGCTGCAGGTGTTGTTGCTGCTGGTGTTGCTGCTGCTGCAGGTGTTGCTGCTGCTGGTGTTGCTGCTGCTGCTGGTGTTGCTGCTGTTGCTTTTTTTGTCTGCAGCGTGAGATCTTTCCCTCCAAAGAGCAGTTGTTGCTGCTGCTGTTTTTGCTGCTGCTTGGGTTTCCCGTTGCTGCTGCTGGTGGTGGTGGTTGTGCTGCTGCTGCTGTTGCTGCTGCTGCTGCTGCTGCTGCTGGTACTGTGGAACAGCTGCTGCAGCAGCAGATACTGCTGCTTCGGTAAGACATGTATCTGTATCCTCTCCCCGTCGTACTTATATTCACAAGTATATTCATTGTCTTTGAGGTGTACACACACCTCAGCAAAACCTCGAGTAGGTCTTGCTAACATAGGCAGCAGAGGCACCCCTGGTTTGCATGTACAGAGCTGCTGCAGTCCTGCTGCTGCTGCTCCTTGCTGCAGCTGCTGCAGCAGCAACTCCATGAAGGGCAACTCGCATAAAGCTGTTCTCAAAGCAGCTTCGGAACTCGATAGAAAAGATTCTAATGCATGTACACCCCAAGTAGAAGGAAGCAGTGAAGGTTTCTTACCCCCTGCTGCTGCTGCTGCTGCTGCTGCTGCTGCTGCTGCTTCCCGCTGCTGCTGCTGCACTTCAGCAGGTATATCAGCAGCAAAATAATGCTCTTCTGAACCATTAAATGTACGAACATCTCCAATTGCAGCAAAACCCCCGCGCGCGTTGTGAGTTAAACAAAACGCAAATGCTAACGCCTAAACCACAAACCCTAAGCCCTAAACCCTAAACCTTAAACCCTAAACCCTAAACCCTAGGAAGGGCTACGGGTTGTTGTATTTCTGTTTATCTACATTAAGAGCGGAGTGGTGTATGGGTGTGGCGTTGAGCGCAGGTTATTTTTGTAGACCTCCTTAGGGTTTAGGGTTTAGGGTTTAGGGTTTAGGGTTTACCTGATAGACGGAAGCAGTACCGCAGCCCGTTCTGAGTTTTTGCTGCAGGAAGCGGATAATATATCTGCCTTCAGTTTGTTTAGCAGCAACTAATAAGTCTCTTATTAAGCCCTTTCTTTTTAATTGCGCTGCTCTGCCGCTGCACTCAGATAGCTGCTGCATCTTCAATAAGACCAGCTGTACAGACAGCCTGCGAGGCGCAAACAATGTTGTTATTCTTGATGAAAATAACTCTGATACCAAGCCCAAGTCAGACGCACTCCGCAACTCTGCACACAAACCACAAACCCTAAACCCTAAACCCTAAACCACAAGCCCTAAACCACAAACCCTAAACCCTAAACCACTAACCCTAAACCACAAACCCTAAACCACTAACCCTAAAACACAAACCCTAAACCACAAACCCTAAACCACTAACCCTAAACTACAGCGGCAGCAGCAACACCACTACCAGCACCAGCAGTAGCGGGAGCAGCAGCAGCAGCAGCAGCAGCAGGAGCAGCAGCAGCAGCAGGAAGCTAACCCTTTTTAATATTATTTTCATTTACACCGTATGTCTCTTTCATAGCTTGCATTATAATCGCATCTCCTACGCCGACTTCTTTAGCAAGAAAGTCAGGGCCCAGCCGATTTAAACAAAAATAAACAGCAGATAATAAACCCTGCAAACGTAAACCACAAACCCTAAACCCTAAACCCTAAACCACAAACCCTAATGCAACACTATACGAAAAAAACGCCACACAAATATACTATATACTCCTGCTGCTGCTGCTGCTGCTGCTGCAGCCAAACAATAGCAGCAGCAACAGCAACA